ACTTACTATTGTTGGTTTATTGTAAAGGATACAACTCAGGAACAGCCAAATGTAAGAGAAACATGGTTATAGTCGTAATGGTGGCAGTGGGGAGGGGGGAGGTTGACACAGAGCTTTGGTGCGCTTCCCAGGTGAGCCATACTTCCAGCATCTCAATGTGTTCACCAACCTGGAAATTCTTTGAACCCATCATGTAGGATTTTTATTGAGGTTTCATGATGTAGGCATGATTAACGAAGTCATTGGCCATGGGTGATTGAACTCAATCTCCAACCTCTCTCCCCTTCCCAGAGGGGGTGAGTGGGAATGAAAGCTCCAACCCTCTCATCTTGAGGTTGGTTCCTCTGGCAATCAGCCCTCATCCTTAAGCTACCTAGGGGCCCACCAAGAGTCAACTTATTACTATCAACTCAGGTTGAAAGGGATCTCTTAATAACTGAAGGCAGTCCTATCACTCAGGAAATTCCAAGGATTTCGTCCTTGTGCCAGGAACTGAGGACAAAGACCATATGTATTTTTTAAATTATACCACAGGTCCTCTGATGTTGTTTTTACTTAAATACCAGAATTTTCAGACCTGTGGAGGGGAAGGTGGAGGTCAGAGGATGTTCTACATGAAGTTAGTGTTCCAGTTGCTCTGAAGCTCTTACAAGTCCTGAGCCCTTTCTTCCAAATCACAGTATGCCTTCGGAATGTGTTCTCTCTGCCACCCACAAGGCCCCTAGGGCTGCAGGCCCTTCCCTTCTTTCCCGATGCGTTCCCTTCTTTCTTCTCTTTCAGCAGTCCTCAGTTTTAGCCCTTTCGCCTCCCAGAGACCCATCTGCCTCCTGGTGTGGTCGGCCTGGGACCAATCACTCTCCTTTCTCTTCAAGTTGTCAGTGGGCCAGGGATGGGCCACTTTCTGCTGGTCTTAACTACAACACTCATTAGGAGTCTAGGTGAGATGGTCACACCTGCTTCCCCATTAGTGCTTTAAAAATGAAGCCCAGACTCCTCATGCTCACATTCAGCTTCCCTACCTCCCTTCCGGCCTTCTCTGTCCTCTGCCGCCCAGCCTTGCCCTTGAGTTGTCATCCTCCAGACATCCCAGGGCCTTTTCCACCTCTGTGCCCTTTCCCTTCTCTCCAGTGTTAGCTTCTCTGCACGCGTGTTCTTTCAGTCACACATATTTATTGAATGTATCCTGTCTGCCAGGCCCTGTGCCAGACACCATGAGGACCACGAGGAAGGGTGGCATGACTCTTCCTCCTTATAAACAACTGTCAGGCAGGCTTCAGGTCCCCCCCAAGGCATTGCCCAATTGCCCTCCTCCCAGCCTCTCACCTGCTTGGCACCTGGCACCACTTCCTCCTTTCAGGTTTCTGTGTCTCCCCAGCCTTCACAGCCTCGCGCTGAGTGCCTGCCCCAGAGCAGAGCAGAGCAGAGCAACATGGCCTAGCCCCTCTCTATGGTCAGGTGTGTCAGATGCATAAGAAAGAAGACCATGAATAACAGGCACAGGAGAGGGTGAATGTTGTGAAGGGAACATGCTGGTTCAGGTGGGGTGTCAGAGGAACCCCTTGTCCCTCTCACCCTAGAGGCCCCACAGGTTGAGTGTTGGGTCACAGAGAGTTGTTCTTTTCATTGAAAGATGAAAGATCAATACATTCTTGTCGAAAAATTTAACTGTCCTTCGCTTTTATTTCCAGTTTTTATTAGAAGTTAGTTACAGACTTTCAATATAGAAGCAGTATCAGAAGGATCACCTGGTTGGAAAGAGAGACTTGGAGCCCAGGACAGAAGAGCCGCGATTGTCCATCCCAGAGAATGAAGGCAGCTGAGTGAGGCGTCCCTCCCATCACTCTCGGCCACCTAATGACTCCATCCACGTTCACGACATCCTTCTGCCCTGTTCCATTCTGGTTCCACATGAACTTGTTGCTTTGAAAAAGTGAGTCTAATGAGATGGCAATGCCACTGTACTTGACCAGTGTGTCTGTGCCTGTTGGAAGTGCTGGCCTGGAGTGTCACCATCAGAATAATGGCCCTGTTAATAGAGTGTTCTCTCTGAGCCAAGAATTGTACTGAGAGCTTTACACACACAACTCACTTCACCCTTACCCCTCACGAGAGCCTGCAAGGTTGTATCAGGAATCATCTGCATTTGACGGGTGAGGACACTGAGGCTCAGTGAGGTTATGGAACTGAGGCAGAACTGGATCTAAATTCATATCTGTCAGATTCCAGAGACGCTGGTCCTCATGACCCTGTCACCTTCTGCTACTCAGAATCCTTTGAATACTTCTGGATGGCCTTCCATATGGAGGGCGTAATTAAATTCTGTTGAATAATGCTCTGAGGCAGAGCAAGTAATGTTAACTCTGGAAGTCGTCTGACGTTATGTGGTCACCTTAGTGCAGAGGTTCATTCCTGTGCCCAACCCCAATTCAACTGCCGTATAGAGGTGCTGGGAAATCTAGTGAGTGCTGGTTATGCTGGGACAGGGGGTGGTTATGCTGAGGGAGGGGTAGCCCAGTTTTCAGCAATCTGATATGGAAAAGAGAGGGTGGCCCAGAGCCCAGAGATGAGGGTTCTGCCCCTTGCACCCCCATTTTCCCTATTTAAAGAGTGATTCTAATAATGGTATCCACCTTACAGGGGCAAATGGTGGAAGTAACCTGCTTGGTCAGGAGGGAACAGACTATAGAATAGTCAAAGCAAGGCCAGTGACATTCTGATGCTACTGCTCAGGTCACCAATCCTCACAAGCACCTGCTGCAGGCCCAGACCCATTCTGGGCGGTACATCATGAGCGAACAGTAATGCTGAGAGGCCTGGCCTTAGCCTCCAGGGCTTATAAGAGAAGTTGAGAGGAGAGCAACCAATATGATTTAGTAATAACACTGCAGAGAGGCCAATGGGTAGACATATCTGTAGGACAGTGTCTGTGAGCAGAGGAAACTTGACAGAAATTTCTGTAGAGGGAATTGGATGGAGGGTGATGGTAAGTGGGGTGGTGATGTGGGTGGTGTCAGGGCCAGGTGGTTTTATGGAGGCGGGATTTCAGGAGCTGGGAGAGTTGAGTATATGATGCACAGGAGATTCCAGGAGACAAATCCAAGGCAGCAGTAGGATCAACTGTCCAGCCCTTCATACTCCTACAGAGGGGGTAGAATAAAGCAATTGCTCTTTTTAGCAATCTAAATATCGCAGTAATAGGGATAATACTACTAATATCAAATGCACCAGCCTCCAGAAATATGCACAATCCATTCACTGTAGAAAATTGACTTATTGGTATTAAATAGGAGGAGCAAAGATGGTACATCAGTAGTGAGGGTCCTACATCAGTATCTTTATAGCATTGAACAAAGTAAGACTGTCAAGGAATTGTTTTAAAACTGAATGTATTAGTCCACATTTATTCACTCATTCATTCCAAGGCTGATAGCTGTGGTCTTTGTAGTTATTTTCTTTTCTGTTTCTCCTGAAAGAGCCTGGGCTCTTGTGACCACCCCATAAGCTCTCAAATTCCTTGAGGGCTAAGCTAGCAGGGAAATAAATGAATAAATGAACAAATGAGTGAAATAACCTACAGACAAAATGTTTATCTGGCACACACCATGTTTTCAGTTAATTTCAAGAAGGCAGTTGGTGGTAGTGGTTGAGAAAGCAGGCTCTGGAGTTGGGCTGTCTGTGTGGGAGTCCAGTCTTGCTAATTACTGATGTGTGACCTTGGGTAGGTCCCTTTACCACTCTGTGCCTCAGTTTCCACCTTTGTCACCATGGGCTAGTAATACCACCAGATTCATAGGGTTGTTGTGAGGATTAAATGAATGAATCCATTGAAATTCATAGTACAGTGCTTGGCATATAGTAGGCATTCAATGAAAATTAGCTATTATTATACAATTATTTTATAAACTTATTCGTTTAGTTAGCGATGGAAAACCCCCAGGTTTATAGGCAGTCAGAATAAATAAGTCAGAATAAATAAGGAGAGCTTAAGGGCTTGATCTGAAGGGGGGACTGATGTTAATGGGAGTGTGGGGCCACGGCTGTGTTTCCAGAATCTCCTCTTGGGGATTGTTGTCACACCAGGTTCCAGGATGGCTCCTGAAAATATGAATACCCTTTACATTTTCTTCTCAAACCCTTATTTATTTCTCAAAACCCTGCTTTTAGGGGGCGCAGCCTCTTGGCCATATCTTGAGCAGTGTGGTAAGTTCTCAGCACCTCTTCTACCGGTCAGGTGGCTTGTGCCCACTTCACCTTCCCTCCGGGTCCCGCATCCAGCTCGTTTCTTGCATCTCAGCCCCGGAAAACTCATCTTGTGCGCCGGCGCGTCACCCTGCTCTGGGAGCACCGCAAATCAGAGGAGTGGCCCGCAGAGGGGGGATTGGGGCGTCTGCAACGCGTCTAGGGGCGGAGCGCGCCCCGTACCACCAGCAGGTGGCGGTCTACCTGCGACGCCTGCAAAGTTCCCGTCCAGAAACTTGAACGGGATGTTGACGACGCTGCGTGTGAAGAGTACAGCCCAGTATCCCCGAGCAGAGCGGTAGGCGTCCGCGAAAAAGTGAGGAGGGAAAGGTGCCTCGTGTTGGAGTTACTCAAGCATTCAGACACCACGAGCTTCATTCAGGGAGGCTTCAGGAGGGGTGAGTACGGAGCAGCGCACGGGAAAGGGAGCGCTGTTCTTTTCTTAGGGTATTATCTTTGGCTTGTGTCGAACCTCCGAGAAAGATTTCTGGAGCGGAGCTGCTGGATCAGGTGGAGGGAGCGCGGAAAAAAATCCCGGGAAGCCGGTGCCAGCGCCCCCGGCTCTCTGCAGCCGGAGGAGCGCGCGTTCCTTCCCGCCAGATGGCGCTGTCTGGCTTTCCCTCGGCTTCAGGCTCTGGTCCCTAGAGGCTCCCTCCGTAGTGGTCGCTCTAGCCGACCGGCGCGGGCTCTGTGGTTCCGGGCGGAAATGAGGCGCCCAGCAGAACGGCCTCTGGTGACATTTTCTCCGGGCGGCGCGGACGAGTGAAGGGACTTGGTTGTGGTAGAGCCTGCGGAGGCGGCGGGGCTCTGACTGCGACTCTCAGCTCGCCCCGGGGCTTGTGCTGAGGAGGAGAAGGCGGCGGTGACCGTCGTGTTCCGAGTCACCGCGGCCGGCGTGTTCTGGCCGGGAGGTCGGTGCGTGCCCCGACGGAGTGCGCGGAGCGGGCGAGGAGGTGCGGAGCCGCCGCGGAGCGCAGGTGAGGCGGGAAGAGGCGCAGGGCAGCGGCCTGGCTACTAGTCGAGCCGCGGGACCCGAGCTGCGTCCGGGGGAGGGATCGGGTTGAGTCCGAGGGGTGCGGGTCGCGCTAGCTCGGGCTCTGCGGCGTCCGGGCGCTGGGGTTGTGATGGGCCTGCTGGCCGACGCCGGGTGTTCGCGCCCGGACTTGGCAGGAGGCGCTGCCCCGGTTGGGGCTAACGAGGGGTTTGTTGCTCGCCCGCCGGCTGGTGACCCTTTCTTCCTCCCGGCTTGGTCGAGTTGGCGGGTCGAGCTCCCCCTCTCCTTCCTCGTACCGCTGGGGCCCGGGCAAGGCGCATCCCTTTCCCCGGGGGCCGAGAGGAGGTTGGAGGTGCCGCAGCCCGTGGGCCGCGCTGCAGAGCGACTTTACGGCCCTGGAGTTGCCTTCACGCAACTTTCCGGCGCCCCGGCGGGCGGAGGAAGCGCTGGCTGCAGCTCTGCCAACTCTGCGGGCTCCGCCGGCCGGGGTCTGGCCCTGACACCTGCCCCTACTCCCGAGAGCCCAGGCGGCGGCCCCAGCGTCGTGGCTGCAGTGGCCTAGGAGGAGGGAGAAAGGGCTTTTTTAGCCGTGGCGCTGTCTGCCTCTGGGCGCTTTCTTTTTGTCAGCAGACGCTTCTGGTCCTTGGGAGGGATGCGTCAATCTCCAAAATTGATTTCTTCTAGTGAGTTTGTCAACTTTATTTAAAAAACCGGCGAGGATGTAAAATGACGAGCCCCAAGTTAAAGATCATCGTCTTCTCTGACTCTTCCAGGGAGCTCTCTTTCTTTCTCCAGTAGCACTTCGTACTTTGTACTTTATTTCTCATAACACCGACTTCAGTGTATTGTTGGAGCAGCAGCTCCCAAAAGAGCCAATTGCCCGTCATTCATTCTGCCTTTTGAATCGTCTTCTCCACTGTCACAGAATAGATGCTCACTGGTTGAAGGAGTGAACGTCTGTGCTTGTTCTCCCAGATTGAGCCTCTTGAGCAGTTTATCCTTGGATGTGCTTTTGGTTTCTTACTTGAACTTTTACTTTCTGAATCCTTCCACCCAGTAGGATGAAAATTCCACTGATGATGCTTTGTCAAGGTTGGACCTCTTAATTACAAATACATCTGGCAGTTTTGCTTAGGCTATTATTGTGTAGTGTCCTTGGGCACTACACAATAATAGCCTAAGTTTGAATTCCTTTCTTCTGGGATATTTAAGGATGGAGGCTATTAACTTTCTACTGTAGTTTTGCTGATCCTGACAATGTGGATTCCTCGAGTAAGAGCACTGCCTTTTGGTTTAACACTCATTTTTAGGGACCTACAATTGATAGTTATTACCCGATGTCCTGAGGAGTCACAATGCTAACCTTTTTTTTTTTTTGTAGGAAGTGTAATATTTTGGGAGAGTAACCTGGCTAATACAATGTCTAGTCGAGTACTTTATGCTCAATAAATATAAAATTATGAATTACATTTGAATTCAGGAGATTAGATGAAATTTACTATTATAATCTGAATTACTTTAAAAAGAGCTTAAGTGGAAATTTCTTGCATTTCCATGAAATGAGAAATAAAAATATTTTTAGACATTTCTAAATTAGATTCCTTCAGATTTCAGTACCACTGTAATCTTAAAACTTCAAACCGCATCTTTTTCATAATGTTAATATTATAGATGTAAATTTCAAAATAGGCGTATGCAGTATGAAAGGCAGGGAGAAACATAATAATATCTAAAGCATCAGCTAAATATGATTTCTTAATGGAAAATTTTTTTCCTGACATCTTTTTAAGAAAAATGTGAGGGACTGGATTTTGGAGCTGGAAACTTTCCCATTGTTAATCAGCTTCATATTAAGTTCACAGAGTAGTTGTTACATTACTCACTAATTCAGTTTATATTACTCTTAAATGCATTTATGAAAGAGTGTCATAATACTTTGTTTTATAGTTTTCATGATTTATCTAAGACCAATATATTAAAGATAAACTTTAAGTTTTAATTTATTACAGTTCTGTTAGAACTAAATGCTGAATGTATGTCCTTCAAAGGTTTCTATTTTCATAAGTGACATTGGTAACTTAAGTCTCCTTACTATATGACTAGTAACTTCTGGGAGTTTGTGTAGTCACTCATTATTCAAAGGGTTGTTTTGCTGGTATCTATGGTTTTGTTCAGATGTGTGCATGAATAGACTTGATATATGGGTAATTAAGATGTTTTTGTTTTTTTTCTTTTAAAGTTTGGACTTGATATGTGCTAGAGACCCAAACCCTATGTTTGTAACTTTGGTAAATCACTTTAGAACTTTCTAATTTTTCTGCATGTTACCAGGGACATGTTTACTGAATTGACAATACTTGAGAAAACCTGTAAAAGATGAAAAATGTACTGTTTTCTTTTGAACCATACTGATTTCAGTATTCTCTATTGTTTTAGGAAAGAGTTTGGGGCCAAAGAAAGTTTCTTGGATAGCTGTAATTATATAGTAAAAATGAAGTAGACACGTTAATAACAGCAAAAATTATGAGACTATAGAAAGGGAGAAGAGCTATTGAGAAAACAAAGATGACAAAACATTCAGGCAGCACCTCTTTATTCTCACAACACTAACTTAATCGCTTACTGTGTGCCAGTATTGCTCTAGTTGCTAGAGCTATAGTGATGAGTAAGACTGACAAGATCCTGATACTGCAGGAACTTATACATTTAAACCTGAGGTTTGAGGTGGATTTCCAGGTGGGCATTCCAGGCTAGGGAACAGCAAAGTCAAGAGTATTAATGATCTTGAATGGTAAGTGTGGCCAGTGCCTTGAGTTTACAGAGAGATTAGGGTAGAAGAAGGTAGGGCCAGGTTGTGAAAATACAGTGCCTTAGCCTGCTAATGAGTTACTACTTTTAGGGGGGAAAAAAACTCAGGTGGAACATAAAAAAGATGAGATAGGCATTCCTGTTGAAAGATTTTTCTTTAGCCTTCATTTCAATGAGTAGAAATTGTATTTTTTTATTTTGGGTTGATTCTTTGATAGTTATTTTTTAGTTCTCAAATTTCAGTCAAATTTAAATTTGACTTTTGTCATGGAACTTTTCTAAATCCTTAGCCTTTATCTTTAATTGTACCTACTTTCCTTTACTCCTTAAGGACTCATGACTGAATTTAAGGGAAATACAGTAAACAGTGTTTTCTGCTTCTGTGTGGGCAGTTTTTCTCAGCAGAAGTGGGATTGATGTTCATTCAGTCAGTTTTCACACTCAACCCACAAGTCCTTGTGCTAAAAGAATGGAACAGGGTGAAACCAAAAAGTATCTTGCTTGCTCTGGCTGGTGTGGCTCAGTTGGTTGGAGCATCATCCCATATACCAAAAAGGTTGCTGGTTCGATTCCCAGTTGTTGCGAGTCCGGGAGGCAAGCTATCGATGTTTTCTCTCTCACATCTATGTCTGTTTCTCTCCCTCCCTCCCACTACCCCCT